AGATACACCAGCTCCGATAACCAAGCAGCAAGTCAAATCCTTCCTGGGGTTAGCAGCATACTACAGGAAATTAATTGCAAATTATGCTGAAGTTACTGCACCATTGACTGACCTGAACCAAGAAAGGCTTGGCCAACAAGGTGAAGTGGGAACAACCACACCAGGTGGCATTCCAGAAATTAGAGAACATGTTGGAAGTTCACCAATTCTTAGAATGCTAGACATCAACAAATCATTCATTGTTTAAGCTGATGCTTCAGACATTGGAATCGGGGCAGTACTCTTACAAGATCATGAAGATGGTCTGTTTCCGGTAACATATATAAGTAAAAAGCTGTTAAATAATAAGAAGAACTACTCTGTGATTGAATGAATGTCTGGCCATCATATTTGCCAATCGTAAGTTCCAGAACTATGTATATAGAAGGAGTTCATCTTCCAGACAGACCATCAACCACTTGCATATATTCAGAGGTGCAAGATTGACAGTGCAAGGATCATGAGGTGGGTGGTGTACCTTCAGAACTACAGGTTCCGCATTGAAGCTATTAAAGGAACTGCAAATGTATGAGCAGACTTTGTGTATGAACTAAGAACAGTCTTTGTATATAGTAAAAAAAAATATTGTAAATATTTATCTTGAAGAGGGGTTTATGTTGTGATATAAAAGACTGTTTAGTTTAGATATTATTGATTAATTTATTCTGTGAGTGAATATTTTATTATTGTTTAGTTTTTGGTTATAATAAGAGTTAAAAGCAGATGATTGTAGGAAGTTGTGTTTATAATTCATTGATGCTGAGACTATCAAATGTTGCGTGCAACACATTGATGCCGAGAATATAGAGATTTCTAGAAGGTGGGCAGACGATTAAGTGATAAACATATAAATAGTATAAGATGAGTGGAAACAGCAGACAGACAATAGCAGAAGAGAGTAAAGTTACAGGCAAGGAAAAGTTCAGCATGAAGTTAACTACCGTAGAAGTGATAGGCCTAATGTTTAATATGTTAAGTAAGACTAACAGTAGAAAAGGAGATAAGAAGAATAATTTATTCTGTCAAAGCGTGGTTCTTAAGTAATTGAATCAGCCTGAGTGCACTTTGACAAAAGGAACAGAGGATATTTAGAAGAAAGAAGACTAAACAATTACAGTAACTCATGCCACAATTGTAAGTGAATCACTCACAGAATACTAGTGTGATAGTAATAGAGAAGATAGTTCAGTTTGTCAACTGAAATTCTAAAAGTAATTGAATAGGCCTAAGTCGACTTTTGACAAAAAGAAGAGAACTATATATATGTAGTGTTTATGATATCCCTGTAATCTCTATAGTGAGAAGAATTTGTTGTACATATGTTTAACTTGTTCCAAATATATATATATTATTTTGAAAACAAGTGAAATGTGTGCTGTTGTATTTACGTTGA